GCCGTTGACCTCACAATATGAAAAGTACCAGAACAATTCAAGGTGATAGCACAGGTCGTCTTTCACGAAAGAACTTGAAAATAGCTTGCAGGTCGAATTTCCTGAGAAGAGTCTGTATTAATCGGGTGGTCCTTGTGTGAAGCAACTTGCAGGTCTTCTTCCAGATTCCTTCAATCCCTTATACAGTACAGCGTAGTCTTTTACTCCTCAGGAAATTCTTCATGAAGGCCAAGAGTCCCTTTTTCAGGGTATAGAACGAAATTGGCACTATGATAGACCATATATTCTTTCTGGGTCGTCTAGGGTCTTGACACAAACTTTTTCCTACGGCGCCTCCCCCTTCCCTCCACCGTTGGATGGCGGTTTTCTGGAGTGAAAACTGGAACGTTCTCCAGAAAATGGAGATGAAGTTGAGAAATGTTAGATAGTAGCTAGGGTTGGGAAAGATGGTCGTGACGGAGCAAGGAAAAAGAGAAGGGAGGGGAGAAGGGCTGGTTCTTTAGACAGCGCCATTTCTCCCATTGCTGTACAGCACAATCTACATTTCGCAGCCGAGTCTTCTCGATGGTCGAACGGTCTCTTTTCCAGATAAGAATGGCGGAAGATTGGAAACTAATAACGATATTTATCGGAACGAATGACCTCGGAAAACTGCTATGTGTAAATCGTGTACGTCTACTTTTTTGCTTTCATTTACAACCTGTTGAAATAATTTGATACGGTACAGTCTTCTGTTTCCGGCGGTTTTTGCGCTCAGTCTATTTTATCCTATTTTTTCGTACTTATAACTCTTAGCTTCTTGACCTTCATTTCGCTATTTTCCGAGATCCAATGTTACGGCTCAATCCCTGAGGATCTTCACATCGGCATACACTGCAATTTCTTTCCTTTTTGCGAACACTTGTCACGAGCATTCAAACAATGCCATTCCTGCCAGCGCCTGAATTGCTCGAAAAAATGAGGAAACACAAGAGCAAGCCGACCCCAAGGGTAGCACCAACAATTTCTCCGATTATGACTACGAGCTAGATCCCAGTTTCGTAGTGATTTACCCACCCCTGGAACCCACTCCCCATCTGAAAAGTGGAGGTTACCATAGCACCACAAGGGAGGCTACCGTAGCAAGGGAAAATCACAGACTGGCCTCTCATACCTTGCTGATTTATCGTGCCACGTGCCTTCAGTGGAAATGTGTCCGAATTGTCCGTAGACCCTGAAAATGCCTCAACGATTTTGAATATTAGTGGGACGCGTACCTAGTCCCAAGAGGATTGATCAACGGCAAGAGCTTTTTTTCTCATTGCATGTACATCCTCTTGTCCAAGAATGTGCTTCAGCTTCTGCATCAGGTTTCCTGACCTTCTCCTTCCTTTACATCCTATGTAGTCAACCCTAACTTCACTGAGCTCTCCACCTCCTGAGGAGTGGGCCTCGTGGAGGTCGAATATTCCTTCTTTTTTCGGTTTCCTAGTGTTTTCTCTCCACGTCTCCTCCTACTCCTTCTCTTTACAGGAAACAACGTCACGTGAAGAGTACAAGTCAAAAATCGAAGAAGCGATTTCTCTTCTACGAAGTAATACGAAGCGTACGATTGTTTCAATTGTCTCAATATGGAACTCACAACTAATTTACGATGCGGCATCACTCATTGCTAGTGGGTTCGTCGTTTTATTTTACCTCATCTTATTTGTACCAGCATAACGAGCTAAGAACAGTAAGGTTGCGTTCATACTTTGCGGCAGCGTCACCAGCGACTCAGCGTTTCCGCGTCCGGCAGCGTCAGCAACTAGGAAAGTATAGATATCGATCTAGCGTCCACCAGCGACCAACAGCGTCTCGAAGGAAGAGAAGTATAGGTATCGATCTAGTGACTAGCAGCGTCTAGGAATGGAGAGTACGGGGCGCTAGGAAGGTAGCAGACAGGTGGTACCCACTTATAGCTCAACCCTTTCTACCAGCAGTCTGCTACCCTCCTATCTCCCCACACTCTCCACTCTTAGACGCTCTGATTCGTCGGTGGACGCTGATAGACGCTGCTGGTCGCTAGATCGATGCCTATACTTCAATGGCCCTTGAGACGCTGGTGGACGCTGCTCTTCGCTGGTGGTCGCTGCTGCAAAGTTTGACGCAGCCTGAGAGTCGTTCCACAGAGGTAACCTAGACTGAATTCCTCCAACGAAAACAGTTAGCTTGAATTGGTACAATAATGATCTCTGTCTGAAAATAAAATGTGAGTCGAGAGATTGCGACTGGGAAATACCCAGTTTATTACCCAGGTAGAGGAATGAATTCCAGGACAAGAATGCAGTGCGGTGATGACAATCTGAAGAAACGCGATGCATTAACAGAAGAATACAGAAAGGTGAGTACTACAGAGAGGCCAGATCCAACCTAGTTCTTGTCGGCGCTGTTTGGCTTAGGAGCGGGAAGGCCTTTACCCTTTTGCACCAGAATCTTCTGCTAATTTCTTTTCAACATGTCACTTGCGTAAGGAATGTTGATCCACTCGCAATAGAGCAACGTTCACATTTGAAGAGTGTAAGGCTTCGTTCAGATTGTAGAAATGCGGGAGTGCCTTGCCCATCGTCACTCAAGGGCTAGGAATTATGGTATCGACTCCATGGCGTCTACGACCAACCAGTGTTCGGTAGAGGGAAGGGGCGCGATGAGAGGGTGCAGAAAGCTGGTCGAGAGACGGGAGGATAGCCGAGGGACATTTCTTAGTTCGCTACCCTTCCTGTTGCTATATAACCCTTTCTCACCTGCGACGCTGGGTAGACGATGGCTTGCGTCGCATTTGATTTCTAATGCTCTCCTAGTCATGACGCAAGTTTGTGGACGCTGCCGCAAAGTATTGAAGGCCCGCTACATATGAACATAAGTCACGACAATTTTATACTTGCGACAAAAATAGTAGGGGAGGGGATGCCTAAACTGGGGGAAAACGACCGGAGAGCGAAGCTAAACGGCGAAAAACTGTCGAAAAGGATTTGTCCTACGCATGGACTGAGCATTTTTGGGACGAGTTTCTCGTATACGCGCTAACAACCGTCATTTATGGCCTACACTGCAGTATACCTCATAAATGAAGTGTAATGAGTACCAGCGTCGATGTGACTGCCGGCTGACTGCCCGCGAACTGCCGGCGGGGTGGTTGCGGTGGGCGTGTCTGGGTCCGGCCTCGTGCACCTTTGGCTAGGCGCTAAACGTGACCCTTAGTTGGGAAGGCGCTCACACAGCTTCTGGGCTGAGGGGCAGACATTTCTTCCATGCAGTCCAGCATATCGGCCTTGTACGCGTTTGAATCGGATTTTCGTTGCATTACCCACTTTGTCAGATGTTAGCCGTACTGCTCCTGATACTGTATACTCGTGCAAGGTTTTCAGGTCTTCACGGGAGGGCCCGGCTCTGAGCAAGAAAGCAACAGTATGCCCCTTTCCCACCAAGGAAGTCCCACTCTCCTTCTAGTTGAAGCATTTTCTCTAATGCCTAATCTATTAGGTTGGCTAATAAGTAATGGCCGTTTTTTCAATTGAAAAATTTGTTCGAAAAGTGAAACGTTTTGCAAGCAAGTTATATATCATCTGATAGGAAACTTCTCGTAGTATAAGAATATCAAAAAAGCTTTGGTTGAGGATATAGTTTTTGTGAATTTTTTAGTCGTTGAAGTTGGAAGTGAAGTCGAGACGAAATTATTGCTTCGAAACTGCTTCTATTTAGAATTTCATTGCTAATAGTTTGAATTAATTTTGACATTTGAATTTGATATACTAATACTATGAAAGGTTTGCTAGTATTAAACGATGTTATAGCTTTGCATTGCAAACTATTCCTTGAAACAAATTTTTCAATTGAAAAAAACGGCCATTACTTATTAGCCAGCCCACTAGCAGTTATTAGCCAGCCCACTAGCAGTGGGCTGGCTAATAAGTAATGGCCGTTTTTTTCAATCGAAAAATTTGTTCCAAAAGTAAAACGTTTTGCAAGCAAGCTTAATATCGTTTAATAGCAAACTTCTCGTAGTATTAGAATATCAAATTCAATTCAATTAATTCAACTATTAGCATGAAATTTCAGGTGGAACAGACGTGAGCCTGCCCAATATTGGCAAGGTGAAGGTTGCCACTTTGAAAATTCTTGAAATTAGTTCCAAAGCGTCCTATTGAGATTCCTTGCTGAGACTTCTACCTCAACCTTTTCCGAATGTATGGAGCAGCTTAAGCGATTTTAGCACTTCGAGTAGACGTAAATAGAGGCAGTTGTCGAAGATGCTAATTTTCGCCGACTTCACTTCCAACTTCAACGACTAAAAAATTCACAAAAACTATATCCTCAACCAAAGCTTTTTTGATATTCTTATACTACGAGAAGTTTCCTATCAGATGATATATAACTTGCTTGCAAAACGTTTCACTTTTCGAACAAATTTTTCAATTGAAAAAACCGCCATTACTTATTAGCCAACCTAATACTTTCACAGGTTAGCTACGAAATCCAGAACGAGAAGAAATTCGATCATCCAGATTTCACCGTTGTTGTGCAAGGATTCATGGATGGCATACAGGACGCGTTCCGAGATGTAAACACAGTTTCCCTGAGTTTGTTATGCGTATATCATGATGATGGCTCGAGCAGAAGCTCCCAACAGTCAACTAATGAAAAAAACACAACATTACACTCTTATATTATATGCGGGTGGTATGGTGGAGCGAGGGGGCGAGGCGGGGAACGGCGGTAAGGGGTTGGGCGCGCACAGAGCCGAACCACCGTTCTCCACAGGGCACGCCATCGCGTCGTGATCATTTTCCGCTTGATACGACTCCCCCTCCCCTCTAATAATGGTCCCGACACGACTCCCTTCCCCACTGGTCGGCTGCTATCTGGTAGCGTGCGGCGTAATCATGTCATTTAGCAGCGGATAACAAAATTAGGTGAAAATTGGAAGATGCTTGCCGGAGAAAATAAAGGACAAATAAAAAAGGCGACTGCAATGGATAAATGCGAGGAAACGCGGAAGAAAATCGATGGATATGGCGGATCATAAATAAATTGAGCAAAAATGATAAGTGGAGTGGAGCTTTCGGTGAGGGGAAAGCGGGAATGTGGAGCACTAGGTTGGCACTTGTTACATGGGTTCGAGTGATTTCCAAAAGGTTCTTCCCAAAAGATTTTCTCCGTAGGATCCAGTCGTGATCATCGGGGTCATTTACAAGTCTTTACGCTTTGAATAGCCATAACAAGTTTCATGCAAGGCCATTTGTAGAACAAAGAGCAGTGACAGAAGGTCTCTACTTTCCAGCAAGACTTTCATTCTTATCCTAGACCTGCTATCTCGGAAAAAAACCCGTTGTGATCTTCACGAAACCCCTTTCATACAGCACGAAAACCCACCCCTCCTGCGCCATAAACTTCCAGTTTGTTTGAAGACTTTGGTATGCTTCTAAAACACATGTTTTCGCCAAGGGTATCAGGAAATAGGCATTGGGCGCCAATTGGCATCACCTCTGTAATGCGCCATGCATAGGGCTCTCACGCAGAGGTATTGGAAGGTGCAACTTCTAATAGGGCTTCTTTCGTGCAAGTAGATGTGCTCCTGCCATCGTATTTCCTTCACCGTTCCTCACTTCTGCGCTGGCAGGTTGCTTCTGTCTTGGGTTCTTCACATGAATGAGTCTTTCATCATTGACGCTGAGGCATCTGAGAATCACTGCTCTCTCCACTTCAGGATGGGACATGCGATTACGACCCCCCTCTCTCGCGGTCAAGTACGACCCCCCGTTGTGATCATCACAACGCTCTGGTTCTCCATCAGTTGTTGGAGCGAGCAAGCAACAATGACGGTAGAACGGACTGACGCCGCGCCGTATACGGCCCTGAAGGCAGGTGATAAGTCGGCGCCCTTTGTCGACGGGGGAGGCATTTTGCACTTTAACGACTTCCCGTCGACGTGTCGACCCATCTAGACAGCCTCTTCTCGAGTTGACAGGTTTTACCATGATGGCTTGACGAGCTTGCTCCAGCTTCACAAGAGTTCACAGGTTTCACCAGAGTGAGACTTGTAAACCAGAACTAGTGAAGCAACGAAAGTGCAAAATGCCCCTCCCCCGTCAGTGGCATACTGCGCCTGACAAGTCTTAGCATCCGAACAAGACCACAAAACAACCGAGGTGCTTCTAGTGGTTTAAAGCACCTGTCGCGCATCAGGCAGGCATCCCCGGCAGACTGATTTGCCGCACAGTTCTTGAAGTAAAGGCTCCTGAATGCATTTTTCCACCCCTCCAGTGTGTTTCCTCCCCCTTCCGCTCTTCCACCAATTTCATACTTTTCTTCAACTGATAACGTTCATTCATTTGCAGAAAGAAGGCAAATACGACAAATCCTTCTATGCTGCTGACATGTTCCACTTGAGTAAATACGGTAATGCTGTGCTGGGCAAATTTCTCTGGAACACTATGCTTGAGCCCGTTGGCAAGAAAACAACGAAAGCGAATTTGGGCGACGACTCCGCCCCTTTGAAATGTCCCACTAAGGTTTGTGCCCTCTGAATTATTTGAGAGAAGAGCTGCACTAAGGAAATGGATATATTGTCTTTTCAGGAATCTCCTTTCATACAAACTCTGGGTAATCGATCATTACGCCTCAGTTATGGCCTGGTCCTCATTTCACTCCAATTGAAGATCATCTCTCTAGAAATAGATTGTAGTTATTCATGACTGTATATATGTTTGTGTTACGTATTACGAGTTTTGACCCACTAATTTTGAATAAATGTAACTTTTTCCAACATCGTACGCAACCATTCAGATCAGAGCACGTCCTTTACGCTTGGGAAAATTCTAGAAAAGACGATTTCACCCCCTCCTTCCCCATACTTCAGTTTTCCCAGCCTCCTGTCACCTTATCCCACTTTTTCGATGGATTTTACGGTTTTTCCCCAAAATTTTGTGGTTCAGCTGTGGTAGGGAGGCGCAAAAGCCGCGAAAAGCTAAACCTGCAAACTTGTCTCAAAGGCGAGTATCACTCCCACTACTGGAATTGACGCGACTAAATGCGACCCCTCCGCGCTTGGGATTTCCCAACGTAGGGCGTGTTCTGATTCTGATCCACTTACTGAAGTGCTGAAGAACGCTGTGGTGTAAATGATACTGCCTTCTGCGAAATCTGCGGAGTTGGGAAGACTGTACCATTGGGAAAAAATAATTGATTGCGAGCGGGTTTTTATGTTTCATACGAAATAACTTCTTACAAACGCAATCTTTTGCAAAACTAAAAACGCCATCAGAACGCCCAATATATCCAACGAGCTCTACTGCTCCATCCAGCCCTCATAACGCTCAATAAAACCTCATAGTACTTAGTAAAAATTTTTAGAAAGCATTCGCAGATTAGGTAGTGCTCCAACTGCGACTCCTGACACACTTTTCCCGCTGGAAGTGAACCTATAAGGGTTGTTCGGTGCTCTGATCACGAATATGATATCTATTTGTGGCACCAGCACTGCTTTGGTCAAGTAGGCACCCATTAGGCGCCGCAGCATTTTCCTCCAAAAGTTGTATACTATGATTATTTGGCATTACGATTACAAGTATGGCAATCATTTTTGGTGAAAGCACTTACGTACGGCACTGTGATCACCTGCGCTCGGGGAGCTGTTAGGATTCAGGTTGTTCCTTCGTCGCTTTTTGCAGATATTTTGATGGCAGGTCCAAAATGTACAAACAAAAGTTCGAAAATAAATATCTGAAAATTGAAAAGTGATTCATCTCCGTGTGATCGCATGAGTCACATAGTGTCGCACACGATCGTCGGGGTGTTGATCTGCGGTTCGTTTTGCTTGCTTCTTCACTGCCAGGCCAAGCACCTCTTGCAAAATCATATTTGAACGGACAACCCTTGTCTTGCTAACGTTGAGTGTGTTCCTATAGAGATTCTTTACTAAACTAAAAAGTCCCTCAACTGCGACGATCGTGTCTTTGCGTGGAGTTCACACGTGCCGGCTTCACGTGGCATTCACTACAATATTCAAGGGAATCGATAGTCAAAGCGGCTGCAAGTCAAGGGTTACCCAACCCAGTTTGGCGAACGTCACCACCATCCACCCGTCTATGCTGTCTTTGCAAACATGGACCGAGTACGTTTTTTGTTTCGCGTTATACCTTTCATAACTATACGTCGCTTAATGTATTGATAGCCGTTGTTTAGAAGTAGTCTAACATACTTTGATTTCATTAGTCATGATTCCTGTAAAGTTAGAGCGTATGACGGAGGCGTGAGTGGATCGATTT